TGATTAACAAATTAAAATATTTGAATCTACGGACTCTATTATTTATTTAATTGTCTATTAATTAAATAATAGATCTGTCATTTTATTGCATTAATTATATATAAAAGTATTTATGTCCAAAGTCGATTGGACCTAGGGCATAATACTTACAGATTTTTCAGAATTTGACCGAGTTATCCAGGTCAACATGCGAGGCATGGCAGTATGTGTTAAACATGCAGCACGAAAAATGGTGGAGCAAAAAGTTAGAGGGGCCATTGTTTGTACAGCCAGTGTCGCCGACACTATTGGTGGCCTGAACCACACCGACTACACCATGTCAAAGCACGCGGTGTTGGGGTTGGTCAAGTCAGCCAGCCAACAATTGGGGGTGCATGGGATTAGGGTTAACTGCGTTTCGCCATCAAGTGTTCTTACGCCATTGACTAGGAAAGCTGGACTGGTCAGTGCTGAAGACGTGGAAAAGCTCATTGGCCCGCTGACTAGCTTAAAAGGAGTCGCGTTAACGGCCAGGCATGTCGCTGAAGCTGTACTGTTTTTGGCTTCCGAGGACTCTGCTTTTGTTACGGGGCATAATTTGGTGGTGGACGGTGGATTGATCAGTCTTCCTTCTCTAAACACTTCGTGAAATATGAGAATAATACCAGTAGAATAACAATTACTGAGGGAAAAAATACGGGATACCAGTGTAAGTGCAATATAATATCTATAAATAATAAATTTGCTGTGTTGCTATCAGCTTATAAAATCCATTAAACAAGTGATATACCACTTAATACTTATTGTTATTGATCTATGAAAATACTGAATGTGTTCACCTTTTAATATCTTTAGTTTCGAATATGCACCTTACTTATTAGTGTATGTTTGGTTTGGATTAAAATCTGATTTTAATCTAAATCAAAGTTAAACAATCAATATTAATAACATCTTTCATGAGTTTCACAACTTTTCAATCACATTTCAAAAATTTCTATCACAATCTACTAAAATATCTAATTTTAATCTCCACCAAACACTCTCTTATTCAACTAAGGTCAATTTACATGTTTAATCAAACAAATTATCAATATTCAACATATGTAAGCAATTGAAGATATATCGGCTTTGTTTGATTCTCATTCTTCCTAAAATACATTTTTCTATCTTCTTTTCAATCACACATTATTCATTAAAATAATATTACACGTAAATAAAAAAAACATTTCCTTATTTTCAACCACACATTTTTCATCAATTTACTATTTCAAAGTGCATTTTTTTCATAAAAATGGGGCTCAAACACCTTACTAATCAATCAAAAATAAAGATGAACGTGTGGTTAAAAATAAAAATAAAATGAGTTATTGAATAAAGAGTTTTTAGAGAATTTGGAGTTAAAAGTACAAACAAAAAATTTAATTTTACGTATAAAATGTTTTATTTTGAAAACATGTTATTGAAAATAATTTTAAGAAAAAGAGATTTAAAACAATGATACACAAATAGGGCGGCACATCTTGACCCATTGGGATAGGCGGGACAGAACAGACCTATACAATGATTGTACTATGATTTTAAATTTCTTTTAATTCGAGCTCTGTTTATTTATTAATTAGGGAAAAGTCCTTGCATCGACCCCTTTGCACGGGGTCTGTATAGGAGCTCTCACGTGGAGTGGACATAAAAGGGCCTGTGCATGTGGGGTCCACCTCCATATGAAAGTTCTTGTACATGCCTTGTGTAAAGGGGTCTGTGCAAATAGCACAATCCTTATTAATTATAGTAACAAGGTGGTGCCCCAACTCACAAGCCATGGTACCAAGTTTGACACTACCTCATTCGAAGGCAAGTCAATGACTAGTTTGCAGCAGCTTGGCCAGAATTGGGGGTACTTCTAAAAATAACTTAGTCAAATCACCAAAATTTCATATTGACTTTTCAAAGCACAAATGTTATCACTTTGGCCTCTTGAACATTGAACGACAAAAATACCCTTAATTATATTATACAATTACCAAACCTTATTTTATTTAAAAGACATTACTATCGTTTTAGTTAATAATTGAAAATCAAATACTTTCCACTTAAAATTTAAAAATCAGCTTTTAACACAGATAAAAATTCTCATCTTTCATCTGCTTCAACCTCAAAATCTAAAAAAAATTCCAACACTGAAAACGAATTTTTTTTGTATCAATCACTTCGGATCAATAAGTATATTTATGCATGTTTAATTTTGTTTCGGTAAATTAGTGTACGTTTTAATCGATAAATTTTATTTTGACATAGTATTTAACGCAAATAAATTTTTTTATTAGATCTATAATTTTTTTAAAAGCATAGAAGAAAAAAATTCATCTTCATTTTTATCAAACGGACATTTAAACAGTCGGCCGATGTTTTAAGCAGTCGGCCGACTGTTAAAACTATTTAACAGTTGGCTGTTAAAAGCCTATTGTTTTTAGACTGTTTCAACTGTTTTGATGTCAATTTTTTTGATACTTTTTATTGCCACTAATTTTTTCTTACAATTAATAATTTTTATTATTAAATAAACAATTTTCTGAATATTTCTTTTTGTAATTAATTAAAAATTTTGTTTCGTCGTGCAGATATGACTATAATCTTGATTTGTTACTTTGGTGATTTTGAATTAAATGAAAATGATCGATGAGTATAAAGATGAACGAGTGATATACGTGATCGTATTTTATTACGTGTTGACAGACATGTTCGACCCACCATGGCGAACCACATGGCATGGTTGCCGAAGCCCCTAGGAATGGTAAACACCCAAAGCAAAAATTGTGACATAGCCCAAATGCTGGAAGGCTGAAGTGCAATGGTCAAGGTGGTCCATACCGAAGCCCAAGATGCCGAAGCCGAACTCCAGAACATCTTTGACATCACTCCACCCCAGAGATCCGGTCTTACACTAGAATCCTCCTTCAATAATTACTGAGACACCCATCATAGAGTGCAAGTGTTTTGTTTTGTCAAACATAGCAACGGGTCTGCCAATTAATATTTTACAATGTACAATGTGTACATAAAATATTTTAAAGTATTTTACAAAGAAATTAAATGTACAATGTATACATAAATATTTTACAATATTTAGAATTATTTCTAGGGCTGAAAAAGAAACCGTGAAATCGCAAAATCGAACCGAAATCTTTTTTTTAAATCATTGGTTTGGTTCCACGTAAATTCGTCAACGTTTTGGTTTTGAACTGAACCAAATCATTTCGAAATGGTTTGGTTTAGATTTCAAATTTTGCAAACCGTTTA